TGTGTGTTCAAGGAACGATCACTTCCCCGTGCGAAACATCCGAGTCTTGTTTCCGAGAGTGCGGAGAGATTTCCCTTGTTTGAGAGATGGCAATGGTCCTGGATTCATTTGTTTCAAGATACATTGAACAAGTGACGGGCTTTGTTGAGGGAGAGATATGCAAAGTGCTGGGCGTGAAGAAGGAGATCAAGACGCTGCAGGAGAAGCTGGAGATGATCAAATGTTACCTCGAAAGCGCAGAGCGGAAAAGCAGTGGGGATCCCGGCATCGAGGCCTGGGTGAGGAAGCTGAAAGACATCATGTACGATGCCGACGACATCATCGATCTGTGCATGATGGACGGTGGCAAACTGTTGGAGGCTGGGGGATCAGCATCGGCTTCGGGGGTAAGCTTCGCTTTCAGCTTTGTTTCTTCTTGCTTTCTGTGTACCAAACACCGCCATGAGATTGCGGGTGAAATCGAAGCCATTAATGGTAGACTGAAACAAATAGCTGAGCATACCTCCATCCTTAGTAATCTACAGTCTTCTGGTAGTCACCAACCCCAACCCGAAAAACCAACTGTACTTGAGACGACTCCCTTGGAAGTCGAGGGGGACATCGTCGGGGGACAAATCGAAGTAGATGCTGATACTCTAATCAATGCCATGCTAGAGGACACCAAACAAAAATGTCGTATTTTTGGGATTGTTGGAATGGGCGGAATCGGGAAGTCCACTCTGGCACGTAAAATACACAATGATGAAAGGATCAGAGTCAATTTTCCCATTCAGAAATGGTTGTATATCTCTAAGAATTATTCGGAGACGAAGTTACTCAGAATGTTAATTCGGTGTGCAGGAGATGAAACCAAAGCAGAATCTTTTGAGGAAGACAGCAGAGCAGAAATGGAACCCAAACTTGCCTCACTCGTTACTAAAAATTGGACTACGAAGATGTATCGAGATTTACCCTGAAATTAGTAATGGCATGGTACGAAGAGAGATATAGTAAATTTTATTTCTAAATATCTGATATGTCAGTAGGTGAAAGTAGAACATTGAATACCGACAGAAAAATTGTAAAGAATTTGAATTTCTAAATGGATGTGAGAGCAAATTATTATGGAGTTTGTGACAGGATTACCCAAGACTATAAAAGAATATGATAGAATTTGAATAATAGTAGACAGATTTATTAAATCTGCTCATTTCCTCCCTGTTAACAAGAAGTATTCATAAACTAACAATATTATATATTAAGGAAATTATTCGGGTGTTAATTAGCATTATCTCAGATAGAGATCTAAGATTTACTTTTAAGTTTTTGGGAAGTCTACAAAAATCTTTGGGCATGCACTTAAAGTTTAGTATAGCTTTTCACCCCCAAACTAATAGTCAGAAAGGATAATATAAACTCTTGAAGATCTCTTAAGAGCATATTCTTTGGACTTTGGTGGGAGTTATGATATGCACTTGCACCTAATTGAGTTTTCTTATAATAATAGTTATCACTCTAGCATAAAAATGACTCCATTTGAAGCTCTTTATGAAAGAAAATGCAGATCACATATATATTGAGATGAAGCTCTTTATGAAAGAAAGTACAGATCACATATATATTGAGATGAGGTAGGAGAACGGAAGTTTTTGGGACCTCAATTAATTCAAAAAGATACTGATAATGTTCAAATTATACGCCAAAGATTATTAATAGCTCAAAGTTGTCAAAAAAAGTTATGCAGATCGAAGGCGAAGAAGTTGGTAAGCACGTCTTTTTAAAAGTGTCGCCAACAAAGGGAGTTATAAGATTTGGTCAAAGGGGAAGTTAGCCTCAAAATTCATTGGTCTATTTGAGATCTTACAAAAAGTCGGGCTTGTGACGTACAAATTGGCATTGTCCTCGACTTTGGTTAGCATCCATGATGTATTCCATGTGTCTATGCTTCGAAGATATATTAGGCATCCAACATATGTCATATCTTACCAACCTCTACAACTAAGAGATATGCCATTTTTGGAGAACAACCAACCCAGATCTTGGAAAGGAAAGAACATATTCTAAGGAATAAACTTATATCTTTGGTAAAGATTTGTTGGTAATACCATTCAGGAGATAATGTGGGAAAGAGAAAAAGATATGTGAGAGTAATATCCTCATCTATTATATTAAGGTGAGCTAAAATTGGGGACTAAATTTTCTATAGGATGGGAGAAATATAATAAAATCAAATAATTAAGTTAGAAATTAATTTTTTTTCCTTACTTGCCATTGTAATTTAGGAAATCTTAATCTATTTACTT